GGGTACCATTACCTTACCCGGGGACAGCTCGTTGCGTTCGGTAGCGGCTGGGCGTCAGCACCTTCCATTATTGCAGTACTCAAGTTGAGAAGGAATGGCGCCAGTCAGGTGCGTGCCCATAAACGTGCTGTGGCACACAACAAGGCAGCTAGCTGACTAGCGTTCCTGCTTAGACGCAAGCCACATGTCTCCAAAGCAGCTGCCCGGTGTGTCGCGTGGACCAAAAATGCCCCGCAACCCCCGACGCAAAACTCGCAGCCCAACGCCAAGTTGGTTTGTTAGACTTGATGGGCGGAGACGTAGATGCAGTGAAGCCGACGAGAACTGATTGGTTTGAAGGAAACCCGCGGTTCCATCACCCGAACGTGTGGGAAGCCAACCAGAGGTGTGGGATCCCGGGGAGCTCTGGGGGGGGATCCAATCAGATGTGTGAAACCCCCTGATCCACACCAGGCAAGAGGGGGTTCCACGCCTTTTATTGGCTGACCGCACTGGCGGGGGGTTCTACACATCCCATTCGCTGGCTCACCGCACAGCGCTGAACAGCAGTCAAGGCGGGCTACCTTACCTGGGCCGCAACACATGTCCTGACAGGAGGTGACGAGGGCATTGACTCACCACAGAGTCAGCCCAGAACACTGCATCACAAGCTGTGTATCGAGGCGCGATAGGTTATTCCCAAGAAGCTAAACTGGGAGACACTGAGACGGAATGGTGCACGCGTTTAGTCGGGCGCGTTCAATACCGCAATTGCTATGTCGCGAAACGAAGACGGTGCTGCTGTGCGCGATGGTGGATCGAATGGTGGTCGCTACCAAGACGTGCCGATTACGTCAGTCCTCTCTGGGGGCACCTGGGTCGCCCACACTTGCGACCATGGTTCCCCAGAACTTTCAAATCTCAACTTCTCGACGAAAGGAACACTGGAGGCACCGCCCTCTCGCCCCGGCCGGAAATGAGCCCGTCGTCTGCAAACGCCAATGCGCCGAGCTTCAAGCCCCCTACAAACGCTTTCCGCTGGTAACAGGGGCCATTCCGCCACCCTCAAAGCAGAGATCAAGACCCGTCGGTCATAGCTACGACCACCACGGGATGCTCCGAGTTCGCTTGTTCTGCGGGAGTGCAGACAAGATGGAATAGATGGACCGTCCTGAGAAAATGCTCTCAATTGCAGTGCGGTGAAGCTGGATCAGTCTGCCGCCGACCCACTTTACACACCGTCGACTTTAGCATGCCAGCTTAGGTAATGCCAACTGCGGTGCAATTCTTTTGCACACCACACACCTTTGCACGCCAGCGATCACATCTCCCAGTTCGGAGGGCGTCACATTTCCTATCGATGCGGCATTTGAGAGTGCGTCCAAGAGGCATTCTTTTCCTCTTGTTTATCGTTCCTTTAATGTCCAAGCCGGAGCAAGTCCCGGTCGGCGACGATGCCACCTTACTTTGCGTGAGCCAACCAGCTGTGGGCAGCTACCTAGAAGCCCAGGCACGTACCTGTATCGGGGGCACCGGGCGTCTTCAGGGTCCTAGGGGAGGCGACCAACCAGACGGGAGGCCTGGGATCCCACGGTGCCCTGTGTTGGTAGCCGAAAATGCGCTACCAACAACGCTGTGGGTAGCCGAAAGTCAGCTACCTACACAGGGAACCCCCACTTCTGATTGGCCCGCTCTCCACCCATCCCGCCCGTCACACATTGCCCCGAGTGTATGCGACATAACGACTCCTTCGACGGCCGGGCACACTCTTTCTGCCGAGATGTTGGAGACTCCCGTCTTAGGGTGGTCACATCGACGGCCAGCTCGTCGCCGACCAACATGACCCGAATACTTACTCTATCGTCCTTTCCCACGTCGTCGCCCGCAAGACGCACAACATGCAGGCGAGCACCGACACTACAGGCTGGGGAGCTGTTCAAGGCACCGAGTCGTCATGACAGTAGAGAGCCGCACGAAGTCTATCGAACTCGCAGGCGGTGCGGGAGGAAAATAAATCGCCACAATGAAGACATTTGAGTTGACTAGCGCCTTGATTGGGGTCCATCCATACCCAGAATGCTTCTTATTCACACCCTCCGACCGAAAGCCTGACTCTATGAATCCAGACGTTAGCCACAAATCTCCGCACACTCCGAGACAATCGGGTGAGCACCCGAGAACCATTCGCAGGCATGTACATCACACCCGCGTGGATCGCAAAAATCCAAGCACCAAGCCACGGATCCTGGCAGCAATGCTGCGAACCAGTCCGGGCAACCTGGGTGTGGGCAGATCTACAGGGAACAAGGAGGGGAAAAATGTCGCAGCAGGCACAGGAACGGGAGCAAGTAGGGCAAGAGGAATTCGGACACAACCTAGCTGGCGGGGGCATTTGTGACGAGACACTTTGGTGTTGAGGGAGTGCGCCTGCACTTTGCACACCTAGGAAGCAGCCAATCCAGGGAGAGAGGCAGCTTTCGACATGGCTGACCGAGGTGGGGCATGCCACTCCTGAAGCACCTTCCACACCAAGCAAGACGGGAGCGAGAGATGCACGGTCCTACAAGCCTAAGGTCGGCAAGTGTGATGGGAGGGTTCTCTGCTGGGTCGACAACCACCAACCTTCCCTACGGTAGGCATCTTAGGTAGAAAAGAGCGAGGACTCGTCCGGCAGGCGTGGTATCGGCAGGTCCTTCCCTTCACATCAAGTGCAATTCTCTCGACCAGCGGGCAAGAAGGTACCTACTTCCCATTCCGAAACCCACGTACCTCCCTTACCAACGCGTGCCTCCCTCATCCTTCCGTCCCGTTCCATCCCGTTCCATCACATGTACGGCGCACATCTCTGCGCGTTCTCACCACCTGACGTCCATCCTTCTTCCCTTCCAACTTCTTCTTCTTACTTTAGTCTAGCAAGTCACCGCCTGCGGGCACAGCTTTGCGATTGCCGTACGACTCTGACGGCAAAATACCTGCTCCACCACCGCGCGACATCACCGCTTCCGGCCATTGTCCACGTCAGAGCCATCCAGCGGCATGCCCTCTGTCGTCGGCCGCCTTGTTTGCCTAGCTGCATGTCTGTCCCGGAGCACTGTCGACCCCTACTGAACGAACTCCTCACCTTGGTGGCCAACGGGGAGCAGAGCAAGCGCCAAGTTTACCCAGCTCTGCTTCGCCTCGAGGCTGCTCTCACGAAAGACACCACCAGTCGGGACGTCGTTGGTATCCGGCGCGATCTTCCCGAGCGAATCTCCAACTGGCTCGTCGACCACTTCCCCTTCGATCTTGAGTCAGTCCGATCTCTCCGCGCCCGGCCAAAGATCAAAAAGCTCGCAAGGGACTGGCACGTCAGCGCCCGCCACATTCTCTTCCACTTCGCCTACGACTACTCCTTCCAAGGAGAACCCTTTTTCGCAGCCCTGGCTCGAATGGCACGTCTAATCCCGCATTTTCCCACCGCGCTTTCGAATCTTTGGGAGCAGGCCACAAATCGTCGAGCCCTCGTGACGAACCGCCAAGGAATGCAAAGGAACGCCGTCGGACTCATCTTGGCGGACGTCGAGACTGCAACGCTAGCCATCCGAAGCACAGCAGCGGCGAACGTCCCAAAGTCAGAGCCCAAGGACGATGAGCCCGAGGAACAAGAACGACCCGAGGAACAAGAGCAGCCCGCGAAGGAACAAGATTCCGAGAAGGAGCAGCAGTCCGAGAGAGAACAAGATTCAGAGAAGGAGCGAGAGTCCGAGGAAGAAGAACAAACCGAGGTTGGACGAAGAGAAGCTCGAGGGCGTGCTGGTGTTCCAAGCGGCGGGAACACCACCACAATGTCGTCCGTCAATGGCGACACCGCTGTCCAGCCCCTCAAAGCCATTGGCCCAGCAACACAAATGGGGCCCCAGACTCCTTTGCATATCCTAGAGGCTGTCCATGGGGTCGGCATCCGTGCCCAAGCCGAAGCCGAAGCTAAAGCTAACACATCCACAACCAGCCTCATTGGCCATCGGAAGAGCCCCCAGATGATCAGTTCCTCGGAGGAGGACGACGAAGAAGACGAAGAAGTCCCGCACTGTACCCCCGAGCTCGGAGCTTCTGGAGATTTGTTTGGCACATGCGACTCACCAACCCTGGTGGAGTCGAGCAGGAGCGCGGTCAACCGCCCTGTGCTCATCCCTCGTCCAGCACCAGATGAGCCATCACCCTTGCAGGCAAAGGCAGCGTTGTCTGTCTTGGGGAAGTAGAGTTTTCCCAAAACGTCAACAATACCAGCAGCTTTTGCGAGCAAGGGACTGGTCCACACAAGCACTACCCAAAACACATTTCTCAAAAGACCCTTCCCTGATTGCGACGTCCAAGGAGGACCGTCCACCGCGGCAACAAAGAAGGCACGCACTGACCTGAGTGCATCGACGGAGCCCCGTTCTTCCATTCTCGATGACGATTCTTCTGCCCGAAACCAAAGGCTCGACAGAGCATTGCACCGGATCTGCGCCGTCTACGACTCGAGAGCCCTCGCGGTAGGCTTCGGCACGATGAAAGAAACAATTTCAGAAGCATACACCCCTCAGCCAGAGCTCTTGGACGCCGCACGACTGTCCTCGACAATACTGCTACCGCTTCCCTCTGGTGGCGACAGTTCTGCCATGGCGGTGTTGCGGAACAGAGCCGATGTGTGGACCATCGATCTGTTCGACCCTACGGCGGATGTCGTGAGTGATAATGTCCAAGAGATGATTGAGTCTTTCTTCAAACACCACCTTCCAGAGGTCGAGGAGATACCGAAGTGCATTTTATGCTCTTGTCCGTCCCTGTTGCGGCTTGCAGATCAAGCCGTGTATGCCTTCGCCATTGGCTTGCATGCGTTGGTGTCTGTCCCGCTCCCGCGAAAGCTTCCCGACCGTCTTTGGCGGTTGGTATTGGTGTCGGTGCTCAATGTCGACTTGGAAGCAACCGAGTGGAAACAGCTCGTACCCAAGACACGCGTTTCACCGCAGCCGCGAGTGAGTGAGCATCTCCCAAACAGCATGTCAACTGCGCAGCAAGTGGTGGAGTGCATGAGAATCGCGGAGGAATGCCGTCGCTGGCAGTCGCGGCTCGAGATTCAGATGAAGCAGACAGTCAGGGAGCTGCAGCAAGTTGCAGCAGATGTGGCGAGCGTATCTACTGTCATCGCGCTTCTCTTGCGTGGCGGCGGTGCCCAGACGGAATCGCGTGACGAAGAGGAGATTGAAAGTACTGCATCGACGAGAAAAGAGCTTCAAGATGCGGAGGCACATCTCGGGTCTCTGAAGTTGCAATTGAATGAGGAGATGTCGGACCACAAGCGTCTCATTAAGGACATTATTACAGCGAGCGTACGTTAAACAACGAGTTCGGGGAGCAGCAGGTCCGCGTCTAACACATCGTTATCAATTCCGGCACAAGGCATCTGTTTGAGGGTTTGGTTAAGGACCTGGTTAGTAGTTTACACATGGTGACTGTTCAGAAAACAAATGATCAAGGATCATTCAGGTTTCACCCATTCGTCTGCTCCTTAGAGCCAAGTTCCTCATGGCCATTTCAGTCTTCGCGTGACCCCTCTCCCACAACGTGCTCTCGATGCATGGTCTTTTCCGCCGGGATATGCGTAGTGAAGGAATTCTGATCCCATACCTAATCTTCTCCACGACAATGTCCAAGTGAATCACGGTCAGGACCTTCGATAGGGGAAGGGAACCTGACATGAGCCGTGTTGTCTTGAAGCTGGGCCTCAGCTATCCCAAAAGAAGGGGAACGGCATGGAAAGGCTGATTGGGGCTTCACGTTATGTCAGGATGGCAGATATTCCGCAGGATACATCAAGAGTCCAGGCCAAAAGTTTAACTTGTACTCGTCAGGATGCCCCGGCACGTACACTGCGATGCTACTGGACAGATCACTGGCCCAAGAGCTTTCATTGCTGCGTTCCCCTTGCAATAAGACTAGGGACACCGAGAACCAGATGTTGGCGGCAGACTGTGATACTGCCGTCTAAGCGCACAGGGAATGAATCTAATCGAACCAACTCCGCGAGGCAGGCTCCCGACCGAAGGGAGCAAGCGTGGAGTTGTCGCGGCAGTTGCCGAGGCCCACAGGATGTCAGCCTTTGCAACGAGCCACTGGAATGTAGCAAGAAATTGAATACTCTAGTTCGATGCTCCTCCATCGAAATGTAAACGGAGGCTTAAAAATTAGCGCCACATTCGCTGCTGAACTTGAGCTCCGGCCCCCTCCGGCCCCACCTTGTTCGGGCGGCCCAGGCCATGTCTCCAACACGTCCTGGAAAATAACTGGATCTGGAATGGCTACACACATCACATTCGATGATGTTAGAAGAATAAATGGACATCTCTGGATTTATACAAATTGTAGTCCTTTTGCACATACATCGAGGTGTATCCTCCAATGAGCCTCCGAACTCAGCTCGGGAAATCTGGCGAAAAGAATGTTTGGGTCGCACCAAGCTGCCACGAGGAACCTTAAAGAATTCCAATTAGTTTTGGGTACCTGATAAGTAAACGTGCAGGTACTGCGATGATTGATACCTCATCTTGTGTTTTCGTTTCTCTTTAATAGCCTCTCTGTCTTCAAAGATCCTCCCTTCCCACAGCTTGAAGCAGCAGCTTCAGGGCATCTACATCGAGTGCTTTCGTACTAGCAACGGCTCCAGCCACATGAGCTTCTTACGCTAGTTCCCCTCGGCTATGAATTTGATACTGCTATTTCGGTCCCAAAGATCTCCCCCGACATCGTCCTTTATCGCTGTTGTCATCTTGTTCCCAGAGACATCTCACAGATGCAGGGGAAACTTCGAAGCCATCCTCGTATTTGTTGCCATCCCGCTCAAGGAGAATTATACCTCATCTTCATGCCTCTGAATTCGCTCTCGAGCTGGCATCAGCTTCGGCAGGGCTTGCACATGTGTCGAAAACGAAGGGGTGACCGCATGCCCATTGAGAAAGCTCCTACCACTGAAAAAAGTCCGGGCCCCACTAAAGAAGTCTTGAAAACACTGTGAAATGTCTCCAGTGAGAAAAAGTCCCCATTGACAAAAAGTCGCGTTGAGTAAAAGTCCCCACGGCGAAAATGTAACACCAAAAGCACTTCCACCGAAGAGCCTGGAGCAGCATATCATCATCGAACATTGACGCCAGGTGCCCGGCTCAACGGAAGTGCTCCAAGCGATCGCTCTGCCATGTGCCGATGAGATTGTCTGTCTGGGTGCAGACTTTGCATATGAGCTTGCGTTACAAGGCCCTTCCCCCGCCCTTCGCCCCAATCACGCTACTTTCCACTATCAATTAGCAAAAATTCCTTCCTCAGACGCACGTCAAAAACAGCAACGATTGGATGGCAAAAAAAGCGACATTTGACCCCAGCCGTGATCAATAGCGCCCAAAAACAGCTTCAACATACCTTCAGAAGAGTTTCGCCATCCCGTCATGTACGGTGCTGCACGAGTCAGTTGGTTTCCTGTTTGAGTGATGCGAGCGAGCCTGATTGGCCAGTCACCCTCCTCAAGAACTTGCACGTTGCCCAGCGAAACGGGTGTGGCGCCACAAGCTGGGTGGCGTGCGATGACAGACAGCCGTGAAGGTCTAGGTCCAGAACCTAGATATTCGACTGGCATCATCAGCATTGCGACCGCTTGTCCGTGGCGCTGATGCTTAGCGACAATGGTGGATCACGGGCAGCGCTCCCTGCAACGCAATCAAGTCAATTATGAGGGTTAAACTTAACTTAATTGCTATATCGCGATACTATACTTAATTACTTGCAATTAATTGCAATTAATTACCAAGTAAGGCTATTCAGACCCACTTAGTAGTGAAATTATACCCCTCTTCTGCTATTACCTTATATATTAAAGTATTTCTAGCGTTTCTACTTTTATCACTAGCCTCTATAAGGTCTAAGCAAGAGAAGTAGCACTAAATACCCTCTTATAATTAGATAATTATAAGGGTATCACTAAGATCCCTAATACTAACTTACTTAGGTGAGGATATTCCTCTTTATAGGCAAACCACTAATTAATAGGATTATAGTTAGCCTACTTTATAAGTATAAAATACCTCTCTAATTTATCTAGCTTCTTATTATCCTCTTCTTCCTTAAGTATTATAGCTTTAACTTAAACCTATTACTTAAAGTTATCTAGGTTAATAAGCTCTAGGCGATAACTTATATTCCTCATAACCTCCCCTTTAGAAGGATATTATTAGTTAAAATATCTCCTTAAAGCTAGTTTAGTATTAGATACTTATTCCTATTAATAAGGAGATTATTAGTTTCTCTTTAGGTATTTTAAATTAAATTTAAAGTAGAGTAGTAATATAGCAGTATATAGAAGTAACTCCTCTATTAAGGTATAATATTTATCTAGCTTCTTCTATTTATTATTAATTAAAATCCTTAAGTACTACTAGCTATTACTATCTATCTTATCTAAGTTTAAGATACTATTAATATACTCTTAATAAGTATAAATAAGTAAAGAGCTCTTATTAAACTATCTCTAAGATACTTATAATTCTTAAGTATATAATAGGACTTATTAATTTATTAAATAAGTAGATCTTTAAGATACTTCTTATAAGAAAGCCTATAATATATCTAATTTAAGATCTTAAATATCCTTAATACTAATACTATTATAAAAGGTCTTCTACCCCTTAAAGTAACTTAAAAAATACTCTATTATAGTAATTACCTCCTAAAGTCTACTATAAGAGCTATCTTCTCTAAAACCTTATATTTAAAATATTATCTTTTAGATAAACTTTAAGATTATTATAATCTCTACTAACTATAGCTAGTTATTAGAAATTAAGATATCTTAAACTAATATAAGATCCTTAGTATTCTAAGAAGAATAAAAGCTCTCTACTTTATCTTTAAGCTAAATAGCATACTTAATTATAAGGTATATAGAGTTCCACTTTATAGTATTATCTTAGATTAATTTAAGTTCTTTAGATATCTACTAAGAGAGAAAAAAACTAGTAGACTAATTAGAAGCTTCTAATATCTTATAAAATAGAAGTTTAAACCTCTATATATATTATAGTGAAGCTCTAATAAACTTTATAATATTATAAAGCTTATTAATAAGGCTAGCTTTATACTAATACTTAAGGTTAGCCTTATTTTACTATAGAAGAATATATATATCTAACTATCTCTTAAAGCTATTAGAGTCCTTATTAAATAAGAAGGCTTTTAATATAAAGTTAAGGATATATCTAAAGTAATAAATCCTTTTAACTTAGATATCTTACTTCTTTTTAATAGAGGGGTTAAGCTAAGGGATCAGATTTACTATATAAGTATTATTTAAGCTTATATTATTAGAGATTAAAGTCTTTACTTATTTTATAATACCTTAGTTTTTAATAACCTACTTAAAAGTATTTATAAAGTTAATACTATTATAAGCTCTAATTTACTTTTTTATAATAATTAGATATACTTAAGGGCTTTTCCCCTTAATAATAAAGTATATAATAACCTCTATAATAGCTTAGTAACCTAGAGAAGTCTAAAGATTAAAGCTTAGATATATCTTAGAGTTAGTATATAGAAGTTCTTATTAGATAACTATCTTCTATTACTTCTAAATATCTTTAAAAATAGTAACTATTAAAGTATTAAATTATAGTAATATTTACAGCTTTATATTAGCCTTAGAGATTATATACTAAAAAGTAGGGTTTTTAAAAATAGTAAAAGGAAGGTTAGTATTAATAATTAAATAAATAATAGCTTTCTAGATATTTTTTATATAATCTTTTATTAAACTAATAAAATCTAAGTACTATCTCTTATATAGAATATTATTAGATTACTTAAAACCTTCTAAGCTAATAAACTTTATTTATATATCTCTAAAATAGTTCTTCTTTAGATACTCTAAAGTAGAAGAAATAGCTTTAATATTAAGAATAAGATACTTACCCTTAAGATTATAGTATTAGTAAATTTAGTAACTTACTCTTAGTTAGCTATCTAGTTAGTAGAGAATAAAATACTATCTATAGCTTCCTATCTAGCTTATCCTTTCTTTTATACCCTTTCTCTAAAGTTCTAATTTTTATATATATACCTTATTATTTATTATAACCCTAAAGAGGTCTTTAAATAAAGGATAGTTAAGTAGAGGGTAGTTTTTACCTTACTTAAGCTATAATAAGATAGATTTATACTTTAAGAGTTAGTTAAAAGTATTTAGAAGAGAGGTTAAAGTTAAATAGAGGATTACTAGTATAATAAATATCTAGTATAGGATAAGTAGAGTAGAAGAGAAAGTAAACCTAATAATATCTTTATATTTAAAAGATACTAA